GTCCCAACACCTAGAAATTCAGCATTTGAAAGCCTGAAATGTGTCTGGCCTTGAACACTGAGTTCCCGTACTGGTTGAAAATTTATCACCCAGAAAAGAGACTTTACAAAGATACACTCATATGAACTGTTTGATCATAAGTCACATTATAAGCAATTTCGATTCACGGTTATGTTTCTTTATCTTTTTGTTCTTTGTTTTAATAAAAAAAAAGGAGACGTTTGACGTTGATAATTCTTTATCCAATCAATCATCCTTTGACTTCAGAATTAACTTTCCTCTTTCTTTCTTCATTTATTCGAAGTCAAAGGAAATAGTTTAGTTCTGTGTTTGCAGTTAGCGTAAATCTTTACACCATGTAAATCACGTAATTTTCTGACAAATAAGGAAATTGTTATAACAATAACACGAAAAGACATTTCGCTGAGATTTAATATCCAAAGTGCAAGGGGTGTTATGAAATTAAATTTCAGGCATTTGTTTTGCAAACATTTTCTTTATTATTGTAACCATTAACTCAAAGATCGGTGCAAATGGAAGTTCTTTAAAGTTCTCGTTGGACTGTCGTATGAATGTATTTCCAACCGCAATTTATAATAATTACTTTTTTAATATATTTAGCGAAATATCGTATGATAGAACCGCTCACAAATGGCTTATATATTTTCCACAGATCAAGCAATCGCTATACGAAAAAAAGATTTAAATATTATGTGTACCAATATTATAAGTACTAGAATATTTTTGCATCAAGCTGACCCTTGTTGAAATTCTTACATGCATCAAGAATGGTGATAGTGCTCTAATTTGACCAACCACCATGTATGTTAAAATAGTCAATACTAGCCATGTCACTACAATCGGTTAGAATATGTTTTATTGAACACAGAAATACCCAGAAATTCATACACAGATATCCTCAAGGACACATGGCACAGTGTATAAAGGCATTAGTTAGATCCAGCGACAAGACCTAAAGAGTGTGAGTTCAATACCTGGTTAAGGCAGTAGAGAACTTGGAGAGGTGAATTAACAGGAGATAACTGATAACTGAGATCCATTAAACATGTTACGTGGAACTTGAATAGTCTACCACAGTGAGCGAAATAAAGGGTGCAGTTCGACCTTCCAACCACCTGAAGAAGGCCGGAGCGTACGACGGCCAAAACGTTGTTATAAATATGGTAACAAAAAGGAGGACAATAGGCTGAATAAGGCAAATAGTGTACATAATACCTCATCTCAGAAATATAGACAAATATTTCTTTGCATATGAGATTGATCCTGTCTAGTAATTTAAATATTAAGGGATTGTTTGCATTTTTGTTTGTCAGTGATATACGAACAGACAGTGGATCTGAGAAGAATATCACGTGGTCTGGCTCATTGTTATGATGATATGATGTCTCAAGCAATGTCTACGATTATAGCTTCAGTACTAAAAATAGAAAATTTGTCAGGTAGGAGTTTTTTCCTTGTTATGGCATCAAGAACTGCTGAACATACGAATTTATCAATGTTTTTTGAGACATCAGTATATACGTGCTTATAGTTTATATGCTCCTGTAAGATAGCAGTTTTTTTCGAAAAAGGCAGATGGACTGATACAGGTTTTGATCTGTTTAGAAGAGGTTTTGTAAATCTGTTGTTAGTCTAACTGGGGCTTCCAGAGTAGCGGTTGTTTACGGCTTACCAACCCTTTGCAGGTTATTTAAAGACGGGAGATATATTTAGCGTTTAAGACTCTTTTTTTAAAGATAATAATGATTTAGTGAAACAAGGAGAAGAGGTGGATTCATACCTTTCCCAAGGTATTTTCACGTAAGTAAATATAATGAACCCGATAGGAATTGGAACTCAACTCTCCGACTAACAATTCCGAGTCATTTTCCATTACAGCATCCGCACATTCAAGCTTACAGCACCTGATATTTCAAAGCGGTCACCCCTCTAGATAGTAGAGTTGCTTAACTTTCGTGATCGTACGAGAACCGATGTTTCAACATGATATGGCCATAAGTCCACATTTGGCTGTGCTGCATATGGCTGGTATACTTTTATCAGCTCGTGTGTCATGATGAGCATATTGGTCTTTGTATATGTGTATCCAACGCATCATTTTGTTCATCCCTATTCCTTCACTCTATAATAATAATAATAATAATAATAATAATATGCAACGAAACTGAAATGCTGGATCTACGGAAAATATGATGAAACTGTCGATCATATTATCTCAGTTTGTCCGGAATTAGCAAAAACAAATATACTCACAGACATAACAAGGTAACGACATATGTTTACTGGAAGATATACAAGAAGCACGAAATCGAAACTACTGAGAGATGTTATAAGCACCAACCAGACACAGTTACCCAAAAATAATTTGTAACAATCCTCTGGGACATGTCAGTTTAAATTGGCAGGGAAATAAAATCCAAAAGAGTCTATATTATCATAAACGAGAAAAAAAAATCAGGGAGTTTACGCTTATTGACATAGCAGTTCCACCTGCTAGAAACACAGATAATATAGAGAAATTGTTCAATTACAAAGACCTGGAGATCAAGATTAATAGGATGTGAGGAATGAAGACTGAGACTGTACCAATAGCAATCGAAGCTCTAGCCCTCGTGAGAAAAGGAATGGACAATTTTACTAACAGTATCTCAGCTAACATTAACATAGAGGATGCTCAAAAAATCGGCCGACTAGGAACATCCCGCATACTCAGAAAAGTGCTATCGATTGAATGATAATTCTTCTATAGGGCCTAAGGACCATAGTTTGGGCCCGGCTCTATAGGATACAAAGAAGGAAACATAAATTGCAGAAATAATAATAATAATAATAATAATAATAATAAGAAGAAGAAGAAGAAGAAGAAGAACTTGAAATAGAAATCTCGAAAATGTAGCATATGGGAACAACGATCCCTGTTGCAGTTGAAGCCCTAGGACTGGTTGGATAAGATTGCAGCAGACTAATTAAAGAGATTCCTGGAAGTCCATGCCTCAAGGAGATACAAAAAATGTTCTGACAAGTACAGCCCACATTTTACGAAGGGCTTTATCTATGTAATATTTTTATTTTTTTTTTTTTTTTTTTTTTTTTTTGGAAAGTGTCATGATGCCATTTCTAACCTTAGGTCCATGGGCGGGACCGGGAAAGAAATTTGTAAACGCCAGAAATCAAAGAAAATAATAATAATAATAATAATAATAATAATGATAATCTTGTATCAGGTTGTACGGTGTTGGCACCCACTGAATATAAAACCCGACATGACAGAGTAGGCCAATATCTGCACTGGAAAATCTGCAACTTCTACGGGAAGGAAACTGAAAGAAACTGGTATGAACACCACCCAGACCCGGTTACGGAAATAGGACCTGTTACAATTCTATGGGACTACAAATACACACTGACAGAACAATCAAGGCCAACCGGCCAGATATTGTTATTAAAGACCACAAACAAAAAACGGTGCCTCCTTATTGATATGGCAGTCCCTGCTGACTGCAATGTATAATTGAAGATATTCAAAAAAAGTTGTCAAAGTACAAGGACCTTGAAATAGAAATCTCGAAAATGTGGCATATGGAACATCAACAATCCCTGTTGTAGTTGGAGCCCTAGGACTGGTTGGAAAAGATTGCAGTAGACGAATTGAATTGATTCCTGGAAGTCCATGCCTCAAGGAGATACAAAAAAATTGTTCTGACAAGTACAGCCCACACCTTACGAAGGGCTTTATCTATGTAATTTAATTTTTTTTTTTTTTTTTGTCAGTGGAAAGTGTCATGACGCCATTTCTAACCTTAGGTCCCTGGGCGGGACCCGGAAGGAAATGTGTAAACGCCAGAAATCAAAGATAATATTAATAATAATAATAATAATAATACACTAACAAGAAAAAAACATGACTGATAAATGTTTTTTGTTGTTCCGGCACACCATACCGTGTAACTTTTGACCTGAGGTTGTTGTGGAGCCTGAAGATGACAGTATTTTAAGACATTATCATAGTACTGGTAGCCAACATGAAGTGACTAGGAAAAGACTGGATAAAATAGAAATTTGGTTGAATGACTTTAGTGATCGTAAGGGAATCGGTGTTTTAACGTAATGTAATAATGAACCTCCTAAACCCTTTTTCTCCCATCCATCCGCCCTGTCGGCTTAGGATTCAGAATACGCCGACTGCACATTTGCAGAGGGGTAAAGCTCCCTCAATCAGGCATTCTGGGTAAATCAAGAGTTTTTGAAGACCGTGGAACCACCACTAATTACTAGAGTTCCCAGGTCCACCCTGACCTGGTGTTGTAGCACCTGTTTGGATTCTAGCAACGGGCAAATAGTTAACACCCAAACTGGGGTTAAAATATTGTGAAAGTTTAATAGGTTTGAAATGGTAGCAATACATTTGTTGTAAAAAATTATTACCAGCAATACATTGTTACCAGCAATTCATTTTTTGCCAAAAAAAGGAAAAATTACCAGCAATAAAAATCTTGTTGACATTAAATAACCTATTGAGGTTGATATGTCGTAAAATAAATAAACAGCTATCTCTCATACATTTACGCAAGCTCGTTAGGTTGTCTCCCTTTGTTCCTTGTGCCTTCAGTCTGCTCTGTGAGTATCAAATTTTCCAAGCCCTTTTTACTATTTTGTTCCATAGAAATATCAACTGTCTCTTTCTCGCGTTAAGTCTTTTAAATGTCCTTTTTGTTTCCAATTTCTGTAAAATTCTTTTTGCAGTTTTCTCAACTTCAACTTCTGTAACTTCTCATTCTTCATTTTTCCCATTTTTTAAAATTTTCGATATCCACTCATGTTTTAAATATAGAAACATGTATTATTTCCGTATAATATGCGAAAACAGAATAAGGAATGTAGACATGATTTGTCCTATACTATCGCATATTTCTTTTGGTTTGTTTCTCTTTGGAGAATTTTAAAGTATAGGAATTTTGGCGTATTTCCATCCGTACCAGCCTTTTAATATTCTGCTCATTGTTTCATGCCTGTAATCTCTCTCTCCTTCTCTCTCTCCCTCTTTCTCCTTCTCTCTCTCCCTCTTTCTCCCTCTCTCTCTCTTTCTCTCCCTCTCTCTCTCTTTCTCCTCCTCTCTCTCCTTCTCTCTCTCTCCCTCTTTCTTTCTCTCTTTCTCTCTCCCTCTCTCTTTCTCTCTCTCTTTCTCTCTCTCCTTCTCACCCTTTCTCTCTTTCCTTCTCTCCCTTCCTCTCTCTCCTTCTCTCCCCTATCCCTCTCTCTCTTTCTCTCTCCCTCTCTATCTTTCTCTCTCCCTCTCTCTCCATTTCTCTCTCTCCCTCTTTCTCTCTATCTCCTTCTCCCTCTTTCTCTTTCTCTCTACCACTCTCCCTCTCTCTCCCTTTCCCTCTCCCTCTTTCTCCCTCTCTCTCTATCTCCCTCTCTCTCTCCCCCTCTCTCTCCCTCTCTCTCTCTCCTTCTCTCTCTTTCTCCTCCTCTCTCTCTCCTTCTCTCTCTCCCTCTTTCTCCCTCTTTCTCTCTCCCTCTCTCTTTCTCTCTCTTTCTTTCTCTCCTTCTCTCTCTTTCTCCCTCTCTTTCTCTCTCCCTCTTTCTTTCTCTCTCTCCTTCTCTCTCTCCTTATCTTCCCCTCCCTCTCTATTTCTCTCTCTCCCTCTCTATCTTTCTCTCTCCCTCTTTCTCTCTATCTCCTTCTCTCTCTTTCTCTCCCCCTCTCTCCCCCTCTCCCTCTCTATCTTTCTCTCCCTTTCTCTCTCCCTCTCTCACCCCTCTCTCTCTCTGATATTCTATTCTATTTCTTTTCCATGTCTTTCTGTTTATATTCACCTTTTCACTTGGTTTTCTTTTCTTTTTCGAATCTTATTTACCTTTCTTTCTTCTTACATTTTTTTCTCCCTCTCTTTTCTCTCGCATTTCCCAGTTGCTTCCTGTTTGCTCTTATTATGCAATTTTTTCACAAAGTTTAACTGATTTCCGCTACAAAAAAAATGATTCGCACGCAGCAGGTATTACAGGAGCGTAATGCCGATTTTGTTTTCACAAAAGTCCATTCATTACATGGCCCGAGAGCCAGTCAATGTAGAACGTTACTGTTAATATGATTATGATGGGCAAGGTGCGATATGAATGCATGAGGAGTTTGTAGGAAGTGAATATTATGAGAAAAAGGAGGGTAGATAACGATTGACCTTTGATTTGATAGAATCTAAGATGATAGAAAACAAAGGTCAATCGTTATCTACTCTCCTTTTCTTCATAATGTTCACTTCATCGAATTTCCTTTTTCATTCATATCGCACCTTCCTCAAGGTTAAGATGATAGAAAGGAGGCACGGTGGAGTAAAGGATAGCGGCTCGGATCTATAAATCGGAGAGCCGAGTTCGAATTCCAGTCGAATCCATTACATTCACTTATGTAGTATTACCTTGGGAAAGGCATGAATCCTATTCTTCTGACCACAGCTATGGGTAAATAGCGGGACAGACCGGGTTCTATAGCCTTGGGTGTCAACTGGTCAGAAATGGCGGAAAAAATCTACACGTCAGTCATGTATCGAAAGATACTTGATCGCCTGAGCGTTTAGCAGGCACATAACTGACTAACTGGAGATGATTGACATCAGGGAAGCTGTCTTTTCTACAAAATAGCAATTCTTAGGAAAAGGCTGTCTAAGTGAAATAGTCTCCTTGCATTTGAAACACGGGAGATATGAGGGAGTTTCGACTCCGTGGAAGTAACGTACCCTAGCTTGAAATGTTTGAACCAGTGCAGTTAGGGAATTTGATCTTTGCCGTCGAAATAGCGGTAGAGTTGTCATATTTTAGATTGTAAGTATAATTACTTTCTTCTGTGAGTGACTATTGCATTAAAAATATTTAAAAATAAGCAATTATTTTTCGTACTTTTTTATCCATAGCTGGGGGGTGAAACATGTTTATAACATCCCCGAATGGTATTTGCGCGAAAGTGAATGTAATAGCGTTCACAAAAGTGAATCATTCCTGTTCCCTTAGTATTCCATTAGTAAGAAGTAAGTTCCACCCTGGCAGACAACTTAGTCCTAAGTCCTGCTATATTGTGTGACTGACTCACAGTAGGTTGTTTTCCGAATTTTGACCTTTTGAAGTCTATGGTCAACCTTTCCTGCATAACCTCTTGAACTGCTCTTCTTTTTTATTCTCATGCAATACGTAGTAACCCCTACCTTGAGTGGATCATGAGCCTTGTACTGGGTGAACATTAATTAAAAAAACAGCTAACACGACTCACAAATTTCTCGTTTCAAGCCTTTATCCATTTTATCATCGGCACATGCATAAATAATAGAGCAGGGATGGGTAACCTTTTCCGACCAGTGGGAAGCAGCAAATATGGCTCTTCATACGGCGGACTACTAAAAGTATTCAAGCTAATTTTTCGTCGAAGCTGTCTCAGCCATTTTCATCACAGAAGATCATGCGCATAAGCATCTGCCATAGAAATGGTGAAAAGTTGATTGTTTTTGAAAAACAGATTTCTGAATAACTCAAGAAAGTCCCGGTAAAATTTTATCAAAGACAGTGGTTAACACAAACTTTTGCATGTGATTTTTTTTATTTAATAATTTGAAAATACAAAAAAGAAAAAATTTAAATTAAAAAAATATATATTTCTTCTCTAAAAAAAAAACGTGTTTATTCTGTAAAAATATATATTTCTTCTCCCGACGAAAATTATTATGAACGTCCTGTTTCTAAAGCAAATGATATTTACATGCATGGTCTACATTAGTGAAAAATCACCAATCGTTTAAAATGATGAAAATGGTACGTTCAAGGAAAAGTTACAAAATTCAAGAAACGTTGTGATTAATAATTGTTTATATATATGGTTAACTATAAAAAAATGTGAGTGAACAAGTGAGGACGAAACAAAATAAACAATATTTTAATAAACCTTATTTTCCTCATGGAATTTGGCATGCCATTAAGAAAGCGAAACGGACCACATGTCAGACGCGGGGTCCACTTTGCCCATGACTGCAATTCATGTAAACAAGCAGAACAATAGTAGAGATAAAAAAAGAAAAACATCAAAATATCCCTAAGAAATCTGGCGATACAAATCTTGAACATAGTTTAATAAAATGAAAAATGTATATCCCGGCAAATATAGGGAAGATTATCCACTGATAATTCATGTTTCCCGTTTATTAGACATTTAGGTAAAATTGCGCTCCACGTCATTCATATAGGAAAATACGCCCTTTTCACGGGGTTCATACATCACCCAATTTTCTCTCTTGTTTTATCTTATTAGATTTTCCTGATTTTTTTTTACAGTTTCTTATCGGATCAAATGGAGTCTGATAGTCTAATTCTGAGATCTTCAACGATATTTCTGCTGACAAAGCCTCAATGACAATCTAATCTGTGGAAGGGGGGATGAAGATAATGCGCTTTTAACAGTTTAAATACGAAAGTAAAAAAGAAAATTAGCATTCAAATAAAAACAACAATATAAAATGCCTTTGAACAAACAATATATATATATATATATATATATATATATATATATATATATATATATATATATATGTATATTCTTTATTTAAAAATATGTTTCCAACACGCTACATAAGAGTTCTCATGTTTCAAAACAAGAGCCGAAAACTTCAATATAATTATTTGAATTAAATTGAATTAAAGTACTAAGCTCTGTTCCATCTTCAAGCGAAATTTTTTTTTGGAATAACTTATTTCTGAAATTTACGTGTTTTATAAACATTCATTATTGAAATTAAAATTTCTATGGTAACGGCTAGAGCAATTGTTTAAAGAAAAAGGGGCGTAAGGTGTTAATAATTTGTATCAATATCTCAGTTACATTCACAGATGTCAAGTCAGGGTAAGGTTGGGGTGTCTAAATTTAAACCGGAAGATGACATCGTCTAGTCTGGTTAAGTGTCTATGGAGATTTATTTATTTTTTTTATTCTTTTTATTTTTTTCTGAAAGGGTTTTGTGTATATAAAAACTGTCGTAAATCGCTAACATTTGTTTTTTGACGACTTTATAAAGGGTTATCTTTTTTGTAGGTTATTTAAACTATTTATTAGTATTATAGATTTGAAAAATTATTTCATTGTTTGTTTGTTTTTATGGTAATTATTCAATGCAAAAAATTGATGATGTCGGCAAAAAACCGTTAACTTTTATTATTTAGAAACTTAATAATGTGTAGTTTTTCATGTAGGCATAAAGGGCATGGGTCATTCCAAGTTTTACAAGTTCTAGTTTTGTTTATAATTTTCCATTTTACTTTTTGGTGTTTTTATTCATATATATATATATATATATATATATATATATATATATATATATATATAATTATTTTTTTTGAAAATAGATTCCATCGCTACAAAAACAGTTCTCATGTTTCAAAAAACAGAAGCTAAAAACTTCCAATTCAATTATAGAAATTAAATTAAATTAAAGTGCCTAGTTCTGTTTCATCCTCAAGCGAATTTTGGAATAACTAATTTTGAAATTTACGGAGATTTATAAGCATATACATTCGTAATATTAATTTCTATGGATATGGAGAAAACACCAAACATGAATACCCTACTGCTCCTTATTAAAATGATTGTTGTTTTCTCCATATCCATAGAGATATTTCCGTAAATTTTAAGACCACGTAAAAATCAGTCACCTGGGGAAATAAATTATAACCGATGGACACTTAAGGTTGTCTGTTTTCTATTTAAATTAATATATATATATATATATATATATATATATATATATATATATATGTGTGTGTGTGTGTGTGTGTGTGTGTGTGTGTGTGTGTGTGTGTGTGTGTGTGTGTGTGTATAAATCATTGATATTTCTATTGATAAAACGAACCATACATAAGAAAAATAACAGGAGCGAATAAGTTTAGTGGTGGAGGATTGAGTAAGGCTACACTGCCACACGCTCTACGTTGCCGATTGGCCTAAATCGACTTCATACTCTGCTTTGCAAAACGCCCTTCTCCACTGTTATATATATATATATATATATATATATATATATATAATGCGATGGATAAATTGTCGTCTAAATTATGCAGAATTGACAACAACACTCACATCTCATTTTAACAAATATATTTGCTAAAATTAGACAAAAAAATGTCTTAAAATACCAAAGTGTAAATTTATCCAATAAAACCGACATTGGCTTCAACCACGGCCTCCAGGCAGCTCCGTAATCTCCTTCAATTCTTCTGGACGGTCTACTAGTTTAAGTTGGTGATTGCTGCCATAATCCTAGCCTTCACTTCATCTACTAGTCAAGGTTGTTGCAGTCTGGGAATTAGGTGGCTAGATGTAAGGGGTAATGTAGTGAATAAATTGTCTGGTTGTCATAAATGCGCTCACCTGCTTGTGTAGAATGATGAAGAGTCCACTTGCCAGACATGTAGACCTCCGTGTGGAGTCTGGTGCCTTGTAGGAAGATGAAGAGATTCATAACGTCGTCTCTATCACTAGTGACCTCTCCAAACAGCATCTTAATTAGACACATTCAAATCTTTCCCAATCCTCTGCACTATTCTCATTGCAACATTCTGAAATGTTCGTATTGGGGCTTCCAGTGCTGATGCCAAGTAGCAGAGCATGTCACTTCCAAATTTCTGAGAGAGTGAATTGCATCATGGCGCTTTTTTTTTACAGACGATACCCAATTGATCGTACAATAGGGTTGTTGGGGCGCACCCACCTTCTAACTAGTAATGGACTGGTCCCTCTTATATAAGTCAGCTCTGGGGAGAGAGTCAGGGTGTGCAGCCCAGATACTTTCTGAGCGACTGCTCGGTTTCAACTCTCTTCCTACGGGCGAGGGAACCCGAAGGAGGCTACGCCGAGGCGGAGTCTCCTTCAGGGGAGGTTAAACCGGCCCTGAACCCGTTTATACGGGTTCAAATGGGCTATTTTTGCCGAG